GCTTTATTCAGCTTTCAGATGATGTATACATCTCAATTTCCAAAACTTGACCCTTATTACTGGTTTTGTGGTCGAGGGTCACATATGTCGAGCTTATAATATCCGTGTCGTTGGCTACATCTACAGCTGCTGTTTACAGGTGGAGTATAATGACGTATGAGATTAAAATACCTCCCAAACACAGCTGCCCCGCCACACCTGAGGAGGCAGAGGACAGCCAGGTACCAGCAACACATCAACACCAATAAAAGAGCTGTTGACATGTCACAGTGTGACATGCTACACTTAATCTAAGACTAGGCGCCACTGGAACACAACAAAGACAACACATCTTTCAGCTGTGTTTCCCTCACTGTACTCAAAAGAAAACATTTGGCACACCCATTGTAGTCCGCTTCATGACTGTGAGCCATTATTTTTAGTCTAAATAAATAGGAAACTGTTGCTATTATTTGTAGAGTGATTATACGCAATCAAGCATTTCCTCTGGTCTCCTCCAGGGTGTTGTGTGAGACGGTGAAGGAATTTGTGGCCAAAGTTGGGAAGTGTTATGAGAGAAGCAGTGAGAGTACGGAGGAAGCTGATGTACTTGCCCTCAAAGTGAGTCTGTGATGCCTCACCTCGTGACGGCTCTTTCAGTCATTACTCAACATGTGCAGAAATACAGTATAAACCTGTTTATCAACACAACACCCTCTCCTTTGTTCTCCGTCTGCAGAGTGCGATTCTGAACGAGAAGCTGGACTCCCTCCTGCAGACGCTCAATTTGGAGGCGCAGGCCATGACGCCCTCAGCCCTCACCACGCCACCCATCGTGGAGGAGGAGGTGGAGGAGGAGGAGCTGGAGGAAGAGGAGGATCTGAGTGAAGAGTCTTTAACGGAGCTGAAGGAGAATGAGACTGAGAAAGGCTCTGCCCATAAGCTCTTCAGACCCCGCGAGCAGCTCGTGCTCAGAGCCAACAGCCTGAAGAAAGCGCTCAGACAGATCATCGAGCAGGCGGAGAGAAGTACGATTGTGCAGCATGTCTTTTGAATAGAAAAAAAAATCACTGATCTGTTGCTTACAGAATGCGGCTCTGGATATAAGCGTCTCTTAAAGGACTAATCAGAGGACTTCAATCGATTATATTGAAATGGATTAGCCACATGAGACCTGATTGTCTCCTCTTGATCTTCAGGGATTTCTATCTTTTTAAATGAAGGATCAACACATGTGTCAATAAGTCAGTAGGTTTTAGTAATACTCTGTAATTCTCTGTTTCTAGGCCTGGGCAATATGTTTAAATATGATATAATAAAAAACAATAACATTTTTGATGTATAGTTAAATATTAAATATAGTCTAAATTTAATATAGTAATTGTGTGTACATATATATGTAATAACACAAAAATGTGGAAAAAAATATTAACTCTTTAAAAGATGCAGCACATTGTAATGTAAAACATGTTTGTTAAATATAACCTACATTTTATATAGTAAAAATAAATATAATAACGTTTTTGTTTATTTAAATACAAAATATTTTCTAAATATGATATAAAAAATTGCAAAAAATTTTGTTTAATATTTAAATATTAAATATGATCTAAATGTAATATAATAATTTTGTGTACATATAAATGTAATAAAACAAAAAAAATGTACTTTAAATACAAAATATTTAAAAGAGTAATAATTAAACATTTTCTCTTTAGAAGAAGATTGTAAAATGTTCCAGATGCAGCACATTTTAATGTTAAAATATGGTTAAATATTACCTAAGTATTATATAATAAAAAATAATATAATAACGTTTTGTTTATTTAAATATGAAATATTATCTAAATATGATATAATTAAAATAAATATAATACATATATAATAAATGTATTATAATATAATAAATATTATATATATATATATATACTGTGTGTATATATATATATATATA